CATTGAAGAAAGCAGGAAATGAAAGCAGAGCTCCCACTAAGAATCTAATTCATGTTTATAATTCTTGATGGAGTTTATCATGCTTTTCTAGTGTATGATTCTTGAGTTAGACCGATGAAACACATATTGGTTGTTATTTATGTAATGAGGATTTTATGGTTCTTGTATTATTGCTGAAGTGAAACTCAGCAATATACTTATAAAAAGCAGAACTATGTTTACGACAAGTTTCAAGCTCAACATATTAAGAAACACAAAGTTCAGCAAAACCTTCATAGCAGCTATTAAGGTATTTTGTAGATCAATGTGCAGTAATACCTAAGTTATGCCTCAGCTATAATCGAAGGTTGATATTTATATATTTTGCTTTCAGAACATTATTGGGAAATTAATCTTTTATTGCAGCTTATAGTGTCCAGAGTCCATTTATATATGAAAAATAGAATCAAGCTCAGTGTCTATTTTAACATAGATTATATGCATATACTTACATATATAATTTCCTCTTAGATGACAGTGAGCAGAAACGAGAATAAGACTTAATTTTTGATACAATTCCTTTGTTCTTCAAGTCTATATTTACATTCTCCTTTACCTTCCTGCATGTTCTGTGTCTTTACTATAGAATGAGGTTATGGAACATCCATTCATAATTGTTATAAATTCTAAAGAGATAATCTACATAAGTGACTGATGACAGATTTCTGAGCGTTGTAATCACACAACAAAGATGTTTGATTATTGTTTTCAAACTGTTCTCTGCTTTTGAAATTTATTATAAGATTTTATTTTTAAGAAAAATAATTAACAATAATTATTAACAGTCCTAAGTAATAACTAATGTATAATAACTATTATAAATTATAGAACATATTAGAACTTAACATTATCAGCATTATCAAGAGGAGAGATGTAAATGTAATGGCCAAAAAAGGCCCCTAGAGAGGGAATCTGCAAGATAACAAAGACTTGGAAGAGGTGAGTATGTTGAGAAGTGCAAATGGTAAGAACATGGTAGCTCTGCCATAGAAGTTTCCAGAAAATTACACAAGTCTGCATGTAATACAAAGAAACAAAAGAGAATGATTTAAGAGGTTAGTAAGAGTGACAAGTAAGATGAGAACCAGTGAAGATTAGGCACTAAAGGGATCAACGTAGTCTCTGGTGAGACACGTTACTACTTCAAGCAAAAGATTTCTTTAAAGTTTTACTAATCAAACAGGTAAATTGTTCACCCCCTTGCTTCCCTCAAGATTCATTCATGTAAGACAGAAAAATTCTCTGTTGGCATTTTTTAATTTAGTAAGATGCATGCTTGATCCACCTCTGAGTTTGTGACTGTATCTCTCTCCGTGGCCTCAGGAATCTCATAAACTTAGATATCTTAAGGTTCACCCTATGTTTAAAGGATCTGGCAATCCAAAGACAGTGGAAAGGTTATACTCGGTGATTCATTTACTGTAGATAACATTTCTTTCTCTACCATGAGCAGGTTGGATGTATGCATGCAATCTCTGTTTCTGCTCATTCGCCCAAGAATCTCTGTTCCCAGTTCAGTGTATGATGTCAGGATTTTCTATGTTTTCCTTCTCTCAGAAGGTAGTTGCATACTTTGCAGGTGATTTTCAAACAACAGAAAATATATAGTGATAATCCTTACCTAAGCCCACATGTAAGTTAACACAATAATTTTGATGTGTTAGGGGCATAGGAATTATATCAGTATCTGCCTGTTTAGATTGTGTGCTCTACAAGTACATTTCATAGAAATGAGATACTGTAATTTAATTTTCTTCTGAATTAATAATTTTAATAATCTACTTTCTTAGTAGTCAAATGTAAATAAATTATACCAATTTACTTGTGATTTCCACAGTATTGACATTTATATTTGGAGCCTTCACTAGTGAAGAATGGAAAAAACAAACAAACAAAAAAATAGGACAGGACAAATCTCTAAGAGTATGACATACTTTTTCTTTCTTTCTTTCTTTCTTTTTTTGTTATTCCTATGGAGTTAGAGAAAGCCTAAGTTTGAGATAGACATTACTTGTTTGGATGTTAAGTATAATGTTATGTTCATTTCTTCTCATATACATGTATTCTAAAACTCTAACTTTTAAAAAAATGGAATACTTTTTATTCTCATTCCAAGGATGCTGATTTACCTTATAATTTGGGGCAAAAATAAAAGAAAAAGCCCCTTGTTTCATTCCATTAGAATCCTATCACTAGTGGCTGCTAAAGCAGTATTTTTTTATATTGAGGAACTACTTTAAAATATTCTCTTTTTTAGATAAAGAAAAGGTTGAACTCAGGATCTGTGCTTCGTAGGGCAAGCACACTACCACTTAATCCATACCTCCAGCTTTAAATGACTTCCAATGAGACATTTTCTTTCTTGTTCCCTCATTCAGGACCTTTGAAAGCATGGGAACCTGTGTTCTTCATCTAAAAAAAAGACTATTCAAGACTTTCAACATTATGAAACCAGAATTAAATATTATGGGGGAAAAAATCTTATACTCTTAAAGAAGTAACTGTCCTGGATACAGAGAAAGGACTGGAACCTACCCTTTCCTAAGACTTAAATGAAATCATTTCAGTTTTGGCAGGTATGCTATTTCTACCCACCCAGTTGGGTAAAAGTCCACTCTAACCATGGTAACAGATGTGAGGAAGGGATGTATATCCCAGAGGTGTATATATTCCAGGAGTATAGAGGGTTACAGAGTCTTTATCCAACGTCCTCTTCTTGATAACCCACATGCAGGGCAAGATGAAGGCTTCCATACAAACTGGACAGCTCAAGGGATAGAGACACGGACAGCAGGGACATTTGTAGTCACTGGTTATTTTGATCAAGGTTTGACCAGGCTGCTTTGCACACTACCAATTAATTAGTGGATGAAAAGCTTACCTTCTGTCTAAATGTGTGAAAAAAATAGAAGTCACTTCTTTACATTTCCCTTCTCATACTCATGCCCTAATGAACTGGAGAGCAGCAGTCAGACAACTCTGAGCATGAAGACATGCAGTCTGATTTTCTGTGGTTGGTTGCTTGTTTCCTCTTCGTGAGGATCAATGATTTGAGGAGCTGGGTTTTTTTTTCTTTAAAATGTATTTATGTTTCAGTGTTTCCGGGTTACTCAACAAGATGTTCAAAGCTCTGAGACTGAGTTAAAATACTTCCCAAAATTTAAAGAACGTTGCATTTTACACCCTGTGCAAGGGAGATTAGTATTCCAACCTTATTTTAAGAGAGAATTGGGGAGTTGTTACATGGTTTGCTAAGAATCATAGTGAAACCAGCAGAAATCCCTAGCCTTTGTGGCTTTCTGCCAGGCCTCCTGCATAAAGGAGAATGCATGGTTATTTACAGGCCTGTTTTTCCCTGGGGAGAGTTTGTTCTAGTTCACCTTAACTCATTACTGATTCATGGGCTGCTGTTTCTGGCTAAATGATGATGGAGTAGTTACATTAGCCAAGAGTCTTATAAAATTTGCTGCGGACTCTTCCATCATTCCAACGTTTGGGAACTTTGCTGTCAACATTCCACTTAAGACACAAATTTCCCTTTCATCTTTTCCATCCATCTCCATGAATACTTTTCCCCTTTCAGGTCAGCCTATAAAAGAGCCATCTTTACTATTCATGTGTCTGTCATTTGCACTTTATAAGGAACTCTGATTTTATTAAACAGCAGTGTATGTTTATCCAGCATTTATTTATTCTGCTTTGTGGTAAAGATAGACTCCCAGTATTTCTACCTTGGGTTGATTCTTACATTAAATGGCTAAAGTAGTTTACTTGCCAAAACCCTCTGGGTACCGCATCGAGCCATTATGTAATTATCGACTTTATAACTATCCCAGAATCTGTGGATGCAATCACCTTTTTTTTTTTTTTTTTGGTCATTTATGGGGCTTGAACTCTGGGTCTGAGCACTGTCCCTCAGCTCTTCAGCTCAAGGCTAGCGCTCTACCACTTGAGCTACAGTGCCACTTCCAGTTTTCTGGTGGTTTACTGGAGATAAGAGTTTCACAGACTTTCCTGCCTGGGCTGGCTTTGAACTGAGATCCTCAGATCTCAGCCTCCAGAGTAGCGAGGATTACAGGTGTGAGCCACCAGCGCCCAGCTATAATCACTTTTGAATATGGACTTACTGAGTCTTACCAGCTTAGAATTAGAAGTGATTATGTCAAGAGTAAGTCTTCAAAGATAATCTTAGCCAATCAGAGATATTATTTCTCTGAATAGTAGAAGCATAGACTCTTTAAAAACTGTGTCTACTGTCTAGTAGATAAGGAGTTGTGCAAATGGTACTTATGGTATCTAATAGAGTGGGATTTCTTGGTTCATGAAAGTAAGCACAAACTACCCTTTTGTATTTTGTTGCTGAGATCCTGGTTTTTGTGCTATTTGGCCAAAAGTACATTCAATAAAAGAAGAGCATTGTCCTGTCCCATCAAACCTGTGGTTACTTTGGGATTTTTGTGGAATTACAGTAGTACCAAGTACTGACACTGATTAAGTATCCCTTACCTAAAATGTTTGGGACTTCTGTGTTCTAGAGTTCAAAAAAAAATTTTTTAGAATGTTTGTACATTCATAATAAATGATGCAGCCATTCTTGAAGATGGGGGTCTAACTCTAAACACTGATTTCATTTATCTTTCCTATATCCCTGATATCCCAACAGTAATTCTACACAACATTATATGTAATACATCCACATCCATCACATGAGATCAGGGTAGAATTTTCCACTGTAGTGTTCTGTCTGTCCTTACAGTTTTTCTTTGTTTTGTTTTGTTTTAGGCATTTCAGGCTTGGCATTTTGAATTAAGAATACTCATCCTCTACAAAGTACCCCATTCCCTCAAAAAAAAAGTTATGTACCATTTGTGATCAAGGATAATTTAACCAGTTGTGTTTTAAATTCTTACTGTGTCGTTAACAAAAGAAGAGGTACAGTATCCAATTATTGCACACAAAGCACCTTTTATTCAGCATCACATTGATTTATTTTCCTAGCACTTTTTTCCTCAGATGGAAAAAAAAATTTCATCAAGAAAGCAAACGTTTCTGCCAAAGTGAAATAATTTCCTGCTTTAATGGTTTGCTTGAAAAACAAAAGCAAAAGCAATGGCGTTGACATTGTACTAGGTCATGGCTCTGCTCCCCTGTCCTCCTACATTTTGCTGACTCATTTGTTTAAAATCCACGGGCAGAAACACAAATCATTTCCTCACGTAGAGTGATTACATTGTATTGCTATTGTGTTTAGCCTATATTTTTTTTTCGCAAGTGGGGAAAAAAAAGTCTAGGTGGGGGAAAAAAAAATCTAATGAGAAGTAGTTTACATGGTCGTAACATTTAAATTGTTGTCAAAAGAAAAAAAATGTAAAAAAAATGTAAATGTGAAATATCATATAGCTTCAAAAACTTACCTCATTGTCTATCATGTATTCATGTACTAGAAGTCAACTTCCTAAATAGTATTACCGTCCCTTAGAATAAGCCCCTAGTGCTACTATGGTATACATTTTAAAAACACTACTACAAAGTTTTCTTTCCTCTTTGTTTTTACCTATTGTGTACTTAAGCTAGAGATAGTTTCAAATAAAAAGCCTACAGTAGGTATAAATGCAATGGTTAACAGATCTTGTTCTGTGGTCCGCTGAAGGTGGCCCTCTCAATCCATCATCTTCTCCTGTTTCTTGCCTTCCTTTTTCTTCTTCTTAGATTCTGCTGTGGTTAAAAAAAAAAGAGAAAGAAAAAAAAATAAACATTAAACTGCTAATCTGCACAGAGAGAAAGCCACTTTTCTGATCATGGGCCAGGATGTAAAAGATAAAATGGAGACCCATTGCTTGCTCTTGGTGGTTTTCGTGGTAAATTGAGAGACATGTGATACGTGTGTGTATATATGTATGTGTTTGTTTGGCTGAGAATGTGGTTTCCAAAGTAGGCTTCCTGTTTGTGTTATCTACAAACCTCTTACCTTATTGGTTGCCACTTTTGGATAGGCAAAATCTTGGGGTTGGAATTGTGTAGAAAACAAACAGTAGACAGAAGAGTAAGAATATTGGCCAGTTCTTTGCTCAAAGGAAAATTATAGCAACTTTAATTAGCCTCATTGGTTCTTGCGGTCCTTTATTAACATTTACATTTTTTTCTGAGCGAATAATTCCAAAGCAATTCTACTCTGGATCTTATATATCCAACAAACTATTTACATAGAAATGACCAGCTATGAACTGCATATAGTCAGTCTGAAACATTGAACAAGGGGACACCTAGTCCTACATGAAGTAAATTGAAGGTACCAATGTGAGTTAATCTCAAAATCATGAAAATTCGCACAAAGACTCCATCTTTATCCAGTCAATCATATTGCCTTCTTGATTTTCCTACATGTAGAATGCAGTAGAAAATCTACTTTGCCTCCAAAGAGTAGATGGTCAGACTCACTAGGCTAGGGGATAAAAGGACATTTTCTAATCATCTCCAAGCTGCATTGCCCATTTGGTACGCAGAAGTGGCAGAATCAATAAGTTAATATGAGACTCAGAAAAGTTAATAAATGCATTTGTGTTTCAGATTAGCTAGTCTCTTTTTTCCTTCCTCCCCCCCCTGCCCCGCAGTCCTAAGGGTTGAATTAAGTGCCTCATGCTTGCTAAAGTAAGCACTCTACCACTTGAGACACAGCCCTACTTCTCAGATTATTCACTTTTAATTGAGCATCTAAATAGTACCACAGCATAGGATATCAACCATAGCATTAATTCACAGATTAAGTGCGCTGTATGAAATCTACTAAAAACAGAACATTGTAAAACAGTACACACTTGATAAAGATGCCGAGTTATCATTGGTGTGATCCTAGACCTAGAACAGACCATTTCTCTGTATAATTAAAATGCTTCTGAATTTCAATCACCAAGACAGATGGACTACACGATGCATTGATTGTGATGTGCAACAGAAAAAGACAGAGATTATGCCAACAGAGATTATGGCATTGTTCACTGAGTTCTAAGAACTGTCTCCGACATTACCCCAGGGGCAATGGTAAGATTTGATATTGTACATGTCCAATATGAAACAGAAGTAAAGCTAGGAACTTGCGTATCTGCGTTTGTATTCTCATCACCTCCAAAGTCCATTTCACATTAAGCAAAGTAGTATTTGTGTTCAGTTCATCTGTCCTAGCTCCCTTTATGCAGGCTTTAAAGAGGCACTGTATGCAAATAGGCCAGCAGTTTTGGAAACGCTGTTCATCCCCTTAAAGGAGATGGCAGAATTTCCAAGTTCAAATCTATATAATTGCAAGGTCAATTAATTTAGGCAGTATTAAGACATATAGTAATCCCTAATCTTTGGCTAAGATTTTAAGCAACAGCTATATACACATCCTCAGGGAACAATCTAGAATATCAATTTGAATATAACTCGCATTTCTCTTAGCTCAACTAGCACAATGGATATTGTGGCAGTATTTTCACGCTTGCTCTATCATGTCTCGATTGCCTACCTAGGTCCAAATGGGCACCAGAGTATTCAGGTGCCTTGCATATATTTATTTCATGAAACTTGAAATTATTTTGAACACGACATACTACGTTATGTAGCTAATGTAGGTTTTCCATCTCCATGAACACTTTGAAAATGGGAGTCTCAAATTCTCCTTGGTAAGGATGAGAGCACACCTGCTTTCTGTTACCTGAGCTTGAGACTTCTTCCTTCTTCATTAATGAACAGCTTACCAAATGCCAGAATAGTATACACTTGACCCTTCAGTTTGCATAACTGCAATGTATGCTTCAAACATAAAGTGGCATTTTACAAACACACAACAGATCTGAGGTCTACTCCTATTCAGTCTAAAGTAAAAAATGAGAACGCTTCAGGAAAAAAAAAATCAGTGCAAAGACAGAAGTACTTGTGTTTATGAGAGCAGCTTGATTTCTCACATAACTAAGTTGTTGAATTTTTACAAATAGAAAAAAAATTGTGTCGGTGGTGTTGCTTTGGATCAAAATCACATTTTTTTTTCTGACTTTAATGAAGGTTTCAGTGAGAAAGGGAACTTTGTTAGTGCTTTGACCTTAGAACTTTTTTTAATGTTAGAATTTTCTAACTAAGGTTTTTAACCTAGTCTACCTTTCGAATTCAAATAGAGTAATGAAATCTATGGTCTAGAAAGAACTTAGTTCAATCCTTTCATGTAGCAGGTAAAGAAAGAGACACAGGCCAGCACGCCTGTAATTCTAACTACTTAGGAGACTGAGATCTGAGGATTGTGGTTCAAAGCCAGCCTGAGCAGGAAAGTCTGAGACTCATCTCCAATAAACCACCAGAAAACCAGAAGTGGCGCTGTGGCTCAAGTGGTAGAGTGCTCGCCTTGAGCTGAAGAGCTGAGGGTCAGTGTGCAGGCCCAGAATTCAAGCCCCACAATGGACAAAAAAGATGAAGGAAGACGAGGAGGAGGAACAAGAGGAGGAGGAGGAGGAGGAAGAAGAAGAGACACAAACAAAACACCGCCCTTTAATCCCAACCTTTGTGTCTGTGACTTACTTCTCTTTCCCCTGCCCTTCTGTCTTATTCTCCAGAGGTTTTAGCCTTCAAACCCACTCATCCATCCTGTAACCCACCCATGCTTCTGACACACAGTAGACTAGGGAAAGTGAGGCACAGTAAACAACTGCCAGGAATTCAAAAACTCAAGCTGAAGGCAATTGCAGGAGATACTCATCCATCTACTTCCTTTAAGATTAAGGGACCAAAGTTCTTCAGAGGAAAATGAGGAAAGATGAATTGAGGGAAATGAGGCCTGATGAAGGCCACTCAGAAACATTGTTACTTAGAAGCACAGAAGCACTATCTTTGCAGCTTCAAAGAAAGACAACAGGATGCATTCCTTCCTGGAGATGCATTTCTCACCCCCAGAATTAACTTTTGTCTGGCAGGATGTATGCTTCCTGAGAGAAGCAACCTCCTACCCAAAATATAGCCAACAGGATGCCTTCCTTATCTCCAGGATAAGCATCTGTTTTATGGCAGGATGCATTCTTACCTGGAAGAAATGCTCCCAGGACTTGACATCGGGAGTAATTAGAGCAAAGATAAAATACCTATCTTCGCAAAACTTTAAAGGCAGACCCCCTGCCGTTACCATATAAATACCCCTAAAAACCAAGGAGCTGTCTCTGACCCGATGTCTCTCCTTTAGAACACCCACACTCTGTTAGAGTATAACTGTTTCTGTTTGCCTGCTTGTCTCCTTGCCTGCCTGCCTGCTTGCTTGCTTACTACTCAATAAAGCCCTGCCAAGTTTTCTTACCATTGTGATTTGTCCAGAAATCATTATTCTGCAGTGGAAGTCAAGGACCCTAAGTGAAGTGTCCCTCTAAAAGGAAGGACACAAACCTACACCTGCATCTAGTGACCTTCCACTACTGCTTTCCTCCTTCAATCCTTCCCATCCCTCACATTCCAACTTGGACACCACTTGTAGTATCTGATTGCATGGTTTAAGTGAGAAGCTTTTCCCTTTACTTCTCTTATTAGATAACTATTTCCCTGTGAGGGCCTACTTAGTCAGGGTGACTCCATCCTGGTTAAACTCAGATTGACTCTACTCCCTCCAGAGAAGCTGACTAGCTAGGGTGACTCCATCCTAGTTAAATTCAGATGGACTCCCCCCTCCCCCCCCCCACCAGAAGTTAACTCAGCTTAAATGAACTAACCCAGGAAACAATCCCAGGAAACCAGTAAAATATGGCCTGTTAGTTCAAGATACCAGAGCCCAGGTAAGGCAGGCCAGGGGAAGCGTCCATTCAGTAAAGAGCACGCAAGCAGCCTCCAGACCACCAGAGATTGTAAACCTCACCTACATGCCAAATTTGAACAGAGTTGTGGGCTAGATCAACTACTATAGGCCAAATGGCAATTCCAGTTATCACCTCCATGTGGCCTAACATGATTGTGTGATCTTTCTGTGTGTTACAATTTTATTGGCCATCTGCTGTGGCCAGGCTGGACCACATGGCCTGAGCCCCATAAAAGTTAGCCTGTGAGGCTGGGGAGGGTCGCTGTCTTTTGAGACAGGCCTGACCAGTCAGTCTCATTCTTGATGCTTGGTGCAAAATAAAAGCTCTGCTTGACCTTCAGTTAGTATCGGACTCGTTCCTTTGCTCTAGGACCCTAAAATCCCTTCTAATTTTTGTTTTTGTTTTATGTCAGTTGTGGGGCCTGAAATCTGGGCCTGGGCACTGACCCTGAGCTCTTCAGCTCAAGGCTAGCGCTCTTCCACTTGAGTAATAGCGCCACTCTGGCTTTTTCTGCATATGTGGTGCTGAGGAATCGAACCCAGGCCTCATGCGTGCAAGGCAAGCAATCTTCCACTGAGCCACCTTCCCAGTCCTTCCCTTCTAATTTTGCCAAATAGTTGTATTTAAGTTTTTAACTGGCATAGTAAGGGTTTTCATTGTGATGTTTCTATGCAGGCATGTTATGTGCTTTGGTCTAGTATTGCAATTGCCACTAGAACTTAGGCTATGAGAGGTCAGATTCTCTACTCCTGTTATACCTCAGCCCCTAGCACAGTGCTATGTGCATAGGAATGTTTGGTGGAATAAATGTGCAGGATGACAAAAACAGGTCTTGTCTATAATCATCATGTAGGCTTCTTGAATTTTCTTCACTTAGGTTTTAGTCTCCTTTCTGTCTGGATGTCTTTTCTCCTA